TCTAAACAATTTAAATTTTTCAAAAATTTGAAACATTCTAAAAAATTAAAAAAATTCTAAAAAATAAAAATAAAAACTTAAAATTTTAATAAAAATAAAAAATTGTTAAAAATTCAAAAAAATTGTAAGATTAAAAAAATAAAAAAATTTCAGAATATTTTAAAATTTGTGAAATTTTTTTAAAAATTTAAAAAAGACTTAGATTTTTTATTTTTAATTTTCTTTAAGTTTTTTTTTTTGAATTTTTTTGAATTTTAAGGAAATTTTTTATTAAAATTTTTAGATTTTTTGAGTTTTTTAAGTTTTCATAATTTTAAAATTTTTAAAAAATATTTTCATTTTTTTATTTTTTATAAAATTTTAAAGTATTTCAAAATATTTTGATTTTTTTTAATTTATTAAAAATTTATTTGAAAACTTTTTAATGCTAATATAACAATTGATGATGTGACATTAACTAAATTATTTTTAAAATATGTTAATATTTTATTGGACATTCATGCCGTGTCAATAAATTGACTAACGGTGTTAATTTCAGATACCAAAATAAATGATAAAATGAGAGTTGAAGTACTAAACTTACAATTTTATTTTTTTAAATACCAATTGATAGAAAATATATATTACATGTACCATTTTTATATTTAACCCATTATATAATGTGTATTGGCATATGACAGCCTTACCCACTTGCTCTAACAGGAAAAGTTCCAGTAATCTGTTGAATTATTAACACTTTTTATACTTTTTTATTTATTTGAGTTATATTTAGATTGTATGAATTACATATAGTGTGATAAAATATGTGTATAAAAAATTCAATCTAAATGAAATTACATTTTCCTAAGAGTGATCTCCGAAATGTAATGTAAATCTGAATTTACCCACAAAAATTTAGTATTTAAGGTTCATATGATAAACTACAAGGTGCCAAATTGGTAACCAAAAAAGCGAATATGAATAAAATAAAGAGGGGAAAATGTGAATATTGCCACCGTCTGTTCTTCATTGAAATAACAAATGTGTTGATATCTCCAAATTTTTTTTTTTTTTTTTGGCTTTTCCTTCTAAATAATCACATTATTTTTGGTTTGGTAAGCTTTAAAAAGAACTAAAATCATAGTTTTTTATATTGTGGGATATTGAATTGAATTTAAATCTTTGAATTGAAAAAACGCATCAATCAATGAGCCCAATATTGGGTGTCAAAATCTTTAACTTTAAAGTTAAACACATAAATATTTTTAACAAGCATGAAATTTTATAGGTTAATACTTGCACACTAATTTTGTTTGTATATGGGAGAGCCTATCCCACAACATGCCATGAATCTTATGCCTATATCTACACTAACAGATCTTACATACACTCTGGGTAATCGAGGATAGAATTAGAATTTTTAATTTGAAAGAACGAGAGTATGATATAATATTAGAGAATGGTTGGTATAGATTGATTCATTTAAAAATCATGATGATATGCATTAAGTAATGACATCACTTTATTTGATTGTAATTTAAAAAATCTTTTGTGATAGTGATAGTTAAGTCACTGGGGTGATAAGATTACTATTTTGAAGAGTGATCTGATTTTTAACGTAAAAGATGAAAAAAATTTTTTCTCATAAGAAAATAATTTGTAATATTATTTTCTAACTAATTTATCATAAAAAAATATATAATGAACATTACCTCAAGAAGCTAGTAAATAAAAATTTTTAAAAAAATTGTTATAAATTTATATTGACTAAAAAAAAGATAATGAATTTATTTAATAATTTTTTAGAAATCATTTTTATTAAAATTGACTTTTATTTTATAAGTTTCTATAAAATTATGTTTAATTATTTTATAAATTGTTGATTCAATAAGTATTAAATATTTTATTTTTTAAAGGTTATTTAGGATATTTTGTATTATATGATTTATTTTTTCATATAATATCAAACACGATGATTTAAAAAGCATAGTGATTTATAATATTGTATTAAATATGATAATCTAATATTATTGGTGATCAAATCATTGATCTTATCACTATGATAATTAAATCACTGCGATAATATTAAAAATATACCAAATGCTACCTAAGAGTAATTTTTTAAGTGCATAATAAACTTATATAAAATGTATGAAGTAAGCTATTATAACAAATATAAATTAAACAAATCCTAGCTAACATAAAAATTTTCATTATTGAAGTTGGACATGACGAATTTTTATTATTTTGGTGTTGTAGGATGTTTAATTCTACATAATATTCCAATTTCATGATTAATTCTATATAAATATAAGTTAAGAACCCCAACTTTTGAAAAAGTATTGTATACAAATTGAAGCAATTAATAAATAATTTTATTATAATAAATACCCATAAGTATATTAGAATAAACTCAATTGAAATTCTGAAAAGAAATTGTAGATTAGTTGATTAAGAAAAGTATTTTCCAAAAGTTCTGCCTCTACTCTAAAGTTGGTGAAGCAATTTTTTAAAAAAGTAAAATAGGTTAAGAGGACAAATTAATTTTACATGTAGTTGAATAAAAAACAAAAAGATATAAAAATAGAGAAAAGACGTATTTGTTTTCCTTAATTATGTAAATCTATTTAAAGGTTAACAAATGTCGAGAGTGATATTTATAAAGAAATTTATAATTAATGTTTAAAGTGATAAATATGTTTTCTTAATTTTGCTTCCTCTATTTAAGTAAAACACCAAATCCAAGCCAATTTGAAATTATACAATCCCGTTACCATAATCCAACCGTGAAATGAATCATCAATGCCATATTTTTATTATTTCCTCCAAAATAATACCACAGACAGCTCGGCTTACTCTTTTTTTTTTTCCCTATCTTTACTTTTTCCTCAATTGGAATCCCTTATTTATTTATTTATTTTTTTCATATGACCTGCATATGAAATGTTTCAGTTGTCAAAGAAATTTAGTGCCATTTCTCTTTGAATATGGCCCTGAATCCTGATAGATTTGATCAAATTCCAAGTTGGTACTGCACAGTGAAATACGGTGGACAAGCCTATGAAGATTTTTTTTTAATAAGTTGTGCTTTATTTACGTAAAGAAAAGGAGTCTGCTACAATATAACTACAAGACAACTACAACTAGTATGCACGAACATTTACTATTCACATAGCAGTCAATATATCGGTGTTGATATTCCGAGCAGCAAACAAATTCTTGTTCACTGAGTACGCGGCAACCAAGCGTGGGCCTTCTAATCGATTCTTGACAGCATCCTATATTCTAACAACACGTGTTCAGTTGTCTCCTCCCCATCCCTGTATAACCTATGGTTACTTTCTCTCCATGTCCGATGTTTACAAGCACTCCAAGCAATTCACAAGATGACTGAGATCAATGCTTTCCCTTTCATCCTATTCTCTGCCTAGCTGAGCTCTGCAGCCTATTCATCTATCCTTCTTCCCGTTCTACACTGCTGTAATACTTTAAGCCTATGAAGATTTTTGGGCAAACCTTCGATGTGAGATTTCTGTCCTTCACTACGAAGGAAAGCGAAAAGAATGGCTCCAAATGGCAAATGGGCAAGCCTTGTTCGTCTTCATCATTTTTGGTGGATGAATGAAAAAAAAAACTGTATTATAATTCTCTAAAGAAAAGCTGTATTGTCATTCTCTAACAGAATGAGTATGAAGCCCAAAACGCAAAATGAAGGGCTCGACCAGATATTGGTTGGGTCAAACTTCAAAGTTAACTGTGATGATGCATTCAAAGACTCAGAAAAAGCTGGCATAAGTGTGGTGATTAGAAATGATGAAGGTAGGGTGCTTGCAGCAGGGGTTGCCACGAAGTAAGAGTCAATTCTGTTATTGAGGCTGAAGCGGCTGCTATGAAGGAAGGGGTTTGTCTGGCTGAAAAAATGCAGCTAAAGAAGATCATTTTGGAAACAGATTCAGAAACTTTACATAAAGAGATAACAGGGAGATGTATGAAGGGTAAGGGTTGCTCGAGAGTCTTTCCTTATGTGAAGGATATAAAGATGAGGAAGGTGAATTTTGATGGTTAAGTCCTGGATTACTAGAAAAGCTAATGAAGCGAATGACTGGGTTGCTAACCAAGTCAAAATGGGGATGAGCATATGCAACTGGTAAATTTACCCCCATACTAGCCTTTTATGGAGATACGTACCGAGTAGGGATGGGTTAGCAGCTATTCCGTAACGCCATGTTTAATATCAAATTTGTTGGCACAGAGTCTAGCGATTTCTTATCCTAGTTTGACATGATAGTTGGATGAATATTGTATTTCTTTTTACTTGAAATGAATGAATTCTTCTTGTTTGGCCAAAAAAATTCCTTCTTTCATGTTCTAATTTTACAAAGATGGGGAAATGAAAAGGAAATTGGGCTTTTATAACGAGAAAAGAATTTAATAAACGTTTTTCAACTTTGACAAGCGTAGATGCTACATGCGTATTGTGATTGTTAATTTTAAATATATGATCTGTAATCATTTATTTTAAATTATCAAATACGATATATTTTATTTTATTTAAAAAATAAATAATTTATCTATTCTCAAAATTTTTTTTACAAAAAAAAAAATTTCAGCATCTCCCCTTTCTCATGAGTCAATTTTATATAAAATCATGATCGGATATAAAATATTATGTGCTATTTTGTATAAAATTATAATAAGATATAAAGATGTCAAAAAAAGAATAAATTTCATGTATTAAAAAAAAGTATTTTCATTTTAAATATTGTAATGATTTGTAGTAGTACAGGTGTAAAAGCTTTATAGGTTTTTTATAGGAGGTGAGCAATTAACAAATTAGTAGGCTGTTTCATTAATTAAGATACGTATTACATCACTCATCTAAAAATGTCCTTCTAACCCCGACAATAATGAAAAAACTCAATTGTTTTTTTGTAATTGTTCTAATCTTATTACTATTAATAAAATATATATTTTCTAAACACTAGAAGTTGAGCTGATGTAGATCCATTAAATTCTGATATATCATTGCGTATCATTAAAATTAATTTGTGGCTTGTTTATAGCTGGTTCAAATTTCCAAATATCTTTGACTGATTTGTGTGAAATGCGTCGATTCAAGTGCCGAAGCATCTATTGCTTCAGAAGAAAGCTTAGTCCGTGACCTCTTGCATGTGTGGGTTTCACGATATGTTTACTGTTTAGGTGACCATAGGGAGAAGCTATTGCCAGGACTGAGAAATGGCTTCTACCACCCCACCTGTCAAATTTCCCAACTCCATCCAACAGGCATTCAAAAATCACCAACCACCTTAATTGCCAGCATAAGAAGACAGAAAAAAGGTTCCCTGGCCCTCCCTTCTCTCAGATATTTCTAGTCTCAAAAACACCACCCCACTTACCTTTTCATTTTGTCCTGCATCTTTTCTCTTCCTCTCCCTTCAAAAAAGCTTTTTTTTCCTCTGCCTGATAATGGCTGAAAATACTGTAAAATGGCTGTTTCTCATTCTAACAAGCTACCTGTCCTTTGGGCTTGTCCTCTCGGCAAGTGACCCATTGACAAAGAAGACCTACATCGTCCAAATGGACAAATCTGCAATGCCAACATCATTCTCCAGTCATCTGGAATGGTACTCATCAAAAGTAAAGTCAATAATGTCCAACACCCAGAGCGAAGATGATGGAGATGATGAAGATAGGATAATTTATAGCTACCAAAATGCTTTTCATGGAGTCGCTGCTCTGTTAACGGAAGAAGAAGCTGAGAGGCTAGAAGAAGCAGATGGTGTAGTTGCTATACTTCCAGAGACGAAATATCAACTGCACACAACAAGGAGTCCCATGTTCCTTGGATTAGAACCAGAAGAAAGTGCTAGCATCTGGTCTCAGAAACTTGCAGACCATGATGTCATAGTCGGAGTACTCGACACTGGAATTTGGCCAGAAAGTGCAAGCTTTAATGATACAGGGATGACACCAGTGCCCGCTCACTGGAAAGGAACATGTGAAACTGGACGAGGCTTTCAAAAGCATCACTGCAATAGGAAAATTGTGGGTGCAAGAGTATTCTACCGGGGATATGAAGCTGCTAGTGGAAAAATCAATGAGAAAAATCAATACAAATCACCTCGAGATCAAGATGGGCATGGTACTCACACAGCAGCCACTGTTACTGGCTCTCCAGTACGTGATGCAAATCTTCTTGGTTATGCCTATGGAACTGCTAGAGGAATGGCACCTGGTGCAAGAGTTGCGGCTTACAAGGTTTGCTGGACTGGTGGGTGCTTCAGCTCAGATATTCTGTCGGCAGTTGACAGAGCTGTGGCTGATGGAGTAAATGTTTTGTCAATATCGTTAGGAGGTGGGATACCATCTTATTATCATGACATTTTGGCAATAGCAACTTTTGGGGCGATGGAGAAGGGTGTTGTTATATCTTGCTCAGCTGGCAATGGAGGACCAGATCCTTTCAGCCTCACAAATGTATCACCATGGATCATTACAGTCGGTGCTAGCACCATGGATAGAGACTTTCCAGCTAATGTTAAGCTAGGAACTGGGAGATCTGTAAGTGGAGTTTCACTCTACAAAGGCCGGAGGTATCTGTCGACAAATAAACAATATCCTCTTGTTTATATGGGCAGTAATTCAAGCAGCCCTGATCCAAGTTCGTTGTGTCTAGAGGGAACTTTGGATCCACATATTGTTTCTGGAAAAATCGTGATATGTGACCGTGGAATGAGTCCTCGAGTGCAGAAGGGTGAGGCGGTGAAAGATGCTGGAGGAGTAGGAATGATTTTGACAAACACAGCAGCAAATGGAGAGGAGCTTGTTGCAGACTGTCACCTCCTTCCAGCAGTTGCTGTGGGAGAGATGGAAGGGAAGGCAATCAAGCATTATGCTTTAACAAATCGAAAAGCAACTGCAACTCTAACATTTCTTGGCACCAGATTGGGGATTAGGCCTTCTCCCGTGGTCGCAGCATTTTCATCCAGAGGACCAAATTTCCTCACACATGAAATTCTGAAACCTGATGTGGTCGCACCTGGGGTGAATATTCTTGCTGCCTGGACTGGAGAATTGGGTCCATCAAGTCTTCCAACAGATCACAGGAGAGTGAAATTCAATATATTATCCGGAACTTCCATGTCATGCCCTCATGTGAGTGGAATTGCAGCCTTGCTCAAGGCCAGACACCCAGAATGGAGTCCTGCCGCAATAAAATCTGCTCTGATGACAACCGCTTATGTTCATGACAACACCCACAATCCTCTCAAAGATGCTTCAATGGCTGCACCTTCAAATCCCTACGATCATGGAGCTGGACACATAAACCCATTGAGAGCTCTAGACCCAGGTTTGATTTATGACATTGAAGCCCAGGATTACTTTGAATTCCTCTGCACGCAGAAATTAACTACAACGCAGCTAAAAGTTTTTGGCAAGTATTCAAACAGATCTTGCCATCACACCCTCGCCAGTCCAGGAGACTTGAATTACCCAGCAATCTCAGTGGTCTTCGACACAAGCATTTCAGTTTCGACACTCCGCAGAACTGTCACTAATATTGGCCCTCCTATTTCAAATTACCATGTTGTAGTTTCACCATTTAAAGGCGCCACCGTTAAAGTTGATCCAGAATCCCTAAATTTCACCAGAAAAAACCAGAAACTCTCCTACAAGATCACTTTCACAACAAAATCTCCGCAAACAATGCCCGAGTTTGGAGGGCTGGTGTGGAAGGATGGACTGCACAAAGTAAGAAGCCCGGTTGTTATCACATGGTTATCGCCATTGTAAATTGCACAAATGGGTTTCCAGTCACCTATGATTTCAAAATAAACGAGAAGTTTTCTAGAGGGCCAAGGGGCTTGCTAATTTTATCATTAAGAATGCATTTCTTTCTATGTTTTTTTATAAAAATTTTGTAGTATTCACATAATAGAGCAGTTAAAAAAAAAGTGTTTATTCTATTCAGCATCTGAATCGTTTTAGAAGACCTTAAGTATGATAGTGCAAGTGATCAGACCTAGATAAGAACAAAGCCAGAGTTGCTTCCCATGGGTATTCCATGGCGCATGATTCTGTAGCTTTCACTGACTTAGTATTACAGCCACAATCATGGCTGCAACAATCAGATGGGCCAAATCTAATATAACTTCATTTATATGTTTCATTCACCGCATAAAATAATTCGGCCATCTACTGTAAGCTTTAAGCAATTGTCAGGGCATCGCTATTGTCATTGCCTATATCAAGCAGACAAGAAATGAATTTCTGACCACCAATGATGAAAGTGCACACATCTGAGATAGGAATACCAGCAGAGAAAAAGAGAGAAAAACAGAAACCTATATTGAGGAACTCAAAAAACTCGGGACAGACTCTGTTTTTTCTATTCTAGTGTAGATCATATCCACTTCTAAAGACATGGTTAAGCCTTAAATGCAAATTCATACTATATGATAGTAAGTTTCAGTCTACCATTCCTCACGTAATAGATAGCACACATAGCATACAATCTTTTACCCTTCCATTTAGAGAAATATAATCCAGTGCAAATATTAACATTTCTCAATAAGTTGAATAGAAGCAATTTCACTGTTATTTTCATGAAAAGAAGATCGAAAGAACGGAAGACAATTCATTTCTCTTCCCTCTTTCATGAATCCTACTCCAATATGTCTTCATTTCATCCACTTGTTCTGATAATTCTGTTCTGCACAATTAAGGACCAGCTAAAAACATTATGTACCCAACAGGTTTTTCCACATCTACTCACCAACTCGCATAATAAAACGGATGGATCTAGATAGACCAACAACCTTAAGGATTCTTCCTTCTGTTGTTATTATTATTTTTTTATTATACATTTTAGGTACAGTTTCACGCTCTCATTGATAAAATTTTTTTTTTTTGTACATCTACAGATTAAGAAGGGAGTGTTAATTAAATTATTTAAACTTTTTTTTTTTTGTTCCAAGATGTCCAAATTGAATTCAGAAAAGCAAATTGCATAAAAAGATACAACAAATGTAGCCAGGTAGGGTATTTAAACCACAGGTAGAGACACATTTTTACCTCAACATGCAATGTAAGAAGGGGAGGAATGGAAACGGGCATATTTGAAAGCCAGGTCATGAAAACATAATACTCCAATGAAATTTCAGAGACATGAATATAAAATGCAGGGCCATAAGGTGAGAGTCATTGTGTGTTCCCATAACTAACTATAACTTGAGTAGAGCATCGAGCATTCAAAAGGCTGTAGCTTGAATTTATGCATAAAGAGAACTTGGTAAGGCAAACATGTATGCCCGTAGAAGAGGTAATAAATCTTAAAACATGGAAACAGCGTTTAGTAGGTAAAATTCCTTCTATTGTCAGAAACTTAATCTATATTACCATATGTGGAGTAAAAAGAACAATTAAGCATGCTTTAGAGAAAAAGAACAGCTAATATATATTTCATATATTTATTTCCATTTCTGAACATATGTTCAAAAGTACAAGTCCTGCCTACTTCATTCAGGTTTTATACCTCAAAAATACGATGAAGAGAGCTGGAATAATGAAGAAAAAGAGAAGCAAATTTAATATGAGGAATAATGAATTCGATAAAAGCAAATTGGAAAATGCATGCGGTCATAGCCTTTCAAAGGTTCAAAGCTCTTTCTAAGAATCGTAACCTAACCCTCCGATTCTTTTCATCCGAAAACTATCTACGTGGATCCAATGGATGGATGCCACCTCTCGATTGTAACGTTTCCTAAATCGCTCCCATCAACAGAGGAACCTGGAACCCCCACGTAGATGTTCATGGTTTCATGCATAGCGTTCCCGTGGCACTTCGCCAATCATGCTCTCGTTCCACGAGTCACCAAATAAATTTCCATTTTCACGTTCTTCTTCCCGTACGCTAATCACCTCTATCAACCCATTTTTCTTTGTCTTTCATGGCCTTTCTTTCTAACAATTAATCTCATATTTCTCTTCCTTTTCTCTCTCAATAGCATCACTACCATCTGAGCTTTTATTGAGAATCCTCAGCGACGATTCAGAGAACGACACCCCAGAGAAATGCAGAGAACGCCGCCGCAGAAGAATTCAAATGAGGCGGTTGAGGTCTGCCTCTGCTGCACCATCAATCCAACTTCGAAGCCCTGAACCTCGAAAGGAAATGACAAATTATGTTCCTAGTAGGTCTGCATTGTTAATGTTAAAGAGGACTACTGTAGGAGATAAGAAGGCCGTGGCATTGCCAGTAGTGGTGGATTCCTCACGGACTTTCTTAACCTCTGATTGTAGGGGCACAATGGACGTTAATCCTAATCCAATGCCAGTCAACGGATGGATATCGATACAAGGGTTTTCCCATAGTATGGATGACAGATTGTTTGTGAAGGAAGATTTTTGCCGCTCGGATATATTCGGTGGAAAGCCTTCGCATTTCTTTGCTGTGTATGATGGACATGGTGGACCTCATGTAATTCTCTCGCCATTTCTTTCCCTTTTTTTTTTTTTTGGATTTTATCTCTGTCAAAAAAACAAAGAGGAAAAAAAATGAAAAGTACAGTGATTTTGTCTATAATTGAAAGATACACTCAAACATGAAACCAAAATAAAAATGTTCAGGTCTCGACTCTCTGCAAGAACATGATGCATACAATAATGGCAGAGGAGCTGATGCTGCTGTCCACAGAAAAAGCACCCGCAACCAGAAGCGGCGATGGCAGTGACAGCTCATATACAGCGGAGAGAAAAAAAAAGGGCGGAAGTGGATAGAGTGGAAGAATGGGAGGATTTTGTACGGGCAGCATTAGAGAAAAGCTTCTTGAGGATGGATCAGGAGGCACTGAGCACGTGCGCTTGCGGAAAATCCGGTACTTATGCGGGTGTCAGCCCATGGAGCTGGGTTTTGCAGGGTCCACCGCTGTCGTGGCAATCCTCACACCTCATCACGTGGTTGTTGCCAACCGCGGTGATTCACGCGCCGTTCTCTGCCGTGCTGGTCAAGCCATACCTCTCTCTCTCGACCACAAGGTTTGAACTTTGAAGCAAACTTGTTTCGTCTTATTTGCATCAGGAATGACACGTTGCATAACCCTGTTGATTCCACTTGTTCCTTAGTGTTACTTTACTAATAACAGTGGTTGGGTTGGGTTGGATTGGTTCATGGGTGCAGCCGGAGAAGCCAGATGAGCTGGAGAGGATTCAAGCAGCAGGGGTTAAGCTTATGTATCAAAATGGGGTTCGAGTTTATGGGATACTCAACATGTCGAGAGCCCTAGGTAATCTTTACCCATATATATGTCGTCTTTTATTTATTTATTTATTTATTTGGGTCATTCCATTATTTCCATTGCCTGTTCCCTGCTACTATTTTTGAGAATTTCCTGTGTTTGTAGATGTTTGGTTTTGTTTGTTTGTGTAAAGAATTATGCATGCCTTGTGTTTGTAAAATGAACGAAGATAGTTTTGTTTCATGATTTTACTAATATTTGTTTATTTAACATTATTCGATAGTAACAGATTAGAGAGATGTATTATTTGTGTAAAGCTTCTGCTACCCTTCCATCTAGCTCGCCATATTTTGCTTCTCTGATTGAGAATAATTTCCTTGTTTCATTCTTAAATTCCTATGCATGGGATTTCTGTTTTCACAATACCTACGACCTGCTATAACAGGATTGCACCCTGTTTTTGTAGGCGGCTAATGGAGTTTCGTTTTCAGTACATCATTTTTCTCTAACAATATGTTGTTGGAGGTTCTTGTTGATATGATCTCTTTAAATACGTCCACCAAAGCACTCAAATTGTAGTCGTAGCCTGTTTTTTCTTCTCGTATCACTTGATTATCGTTAATAACAATAATATTAGATTGCTTTACTCATCAAAAGATATTTGGTTGCAAAAATAGTACTTAATATTTCTGGCTTTGAGGCAGCTGCTGAGTCATACAAGGTTTCGAACTGTTGGGTTTGGAATAAGATATTGTCCTCTAGATTCAGACAAGGATAAAACTAAAGGGATAGAGGTCTTACCATAGCATTGTATTTTTGATATGATCAGCTGCCATATAAAATAAAGTTAATAATGTTGTTAAACTGTATTTGATTGCCTATAGTGAATAGGATAAAAACGGTAGTGTAGAAGTATGCATTTCTCTGTTCAAAGTTCTGTTGGGTTCTTTCTTTATCTCTAATCTTGCAAATGTTACATGCTATTTCGTAGATGCAGTTGAAACTTCAAAAAGAGAAAAGGCCATAAAGAACTTGTAGATTGTGAAAGAAGTGTATGTTACCCATATATTAAAACAAAGGAAAATGGAAAGGAATTTTAGAACCCGCCACAAGCTCAAGTAGTTTGGTAAGGCTAATTGTTTGACTTCTGCTTCCTATCAATGATATTAGCAATGGATGCAGATTGATCTAGCAATTGACACACATGGTACACACGGCCTTCACTAAAGTGGACTCCCTAAAACTATAATTCTCCTCTTTCCATACTGAAAAAGAATAAGTTTTCTGCTCTTCCATTCAAGATAAGCATAATTGTGTACCCAATCATCCTATCCATCTTCCAGATCTTGAAATTTTATGGCCTTGTGAGACTTCATGATGTGTTTTCATTAGTAGGGTTTAGTATAATACGTTTGAGTTGCAGTAATAATGATAGCATGATAAAGGAAAAATAGATTGTGGTCAATGGGTATGTTCACAAAGAACATCCTGACACTAGTGCTTGTGAATTAAAGTATTCTTGATGGCGATAAATTGAAAGCTCCTTGGTAGCAGTTTTGATAAAGAAAGGAACAACAGTGACAACTACTACATCTGAGTTCGAAAAACTGAAAAGCAAGTGGCAATCCTAGTTTTGACAGTGATAGGATGTTGAAAGGTTATGATTTCTGTTGCAGTAGTAGCAATAGCATTAAGATATGGAGCTAATGGTAGTGGTGAGAAACCCAACAAGGAAATCGAATTCTTTTGGCACTACATCCTACCTTGTCTTAAACCTTTAAGTGAGCAATTGTTCAATTCTCTACCATTACAATTTAATGGCAAGAAGTGTTGAGCATTT